CCGTCCTGTTCTGGCTTCAGTGTCTGTCCCCTGCACATGGCACCGGCCCCCGAGGCGTCTCTGCTCTCTTCCACCAGGCTTTTTATATGTAATTTTTAAAATAATGAATTGCCTACTTTATTTGCTGGGTAAATGGACAGATAGGCCAACAGAGAACTTCTGTTCACTGGTTCAGGCCTCCAAATGCCCACTGTGTCCAGGGCAGGGCCAGGCTAGCCCCGGGAGCTGCCCCGGGCCTCCCACGTTGGAGCTGAGTGGCTCCGCTGCCTGCTGGGTCATGTTGGCGCTGAGTGGGACCCACTGCCTGCTGGTGTGCGGAGCTGGGTCACGTTGGCGCTGAACAGCCCTGCTGCCTGCCATGTCAGAAGTGGGACCAGGGCTTGAAGCTCAGGCAGTCTGGCTGGGGATGTCCCACGAGGCCCTGGAATGCTGTGCCGTGTCTCCCTGGGTTTAGGGTGCCAGGACAGGGCTGTGGGACAACACAGCCCTCCCTGCCCACCTTCGGCTGAGGGGGCTGCCCTGGTGGGGGACCCTGAGGGCCCCAGGCCGGGTTGCAAGCTGTGGGGGTTAGAGCAGATGCTGTGGCACAGCAAATTAAGCCTCCATCTGCTGCACCAGCATTCCATGTGAACACTGGTCCGAGTCCTGCCTGCTGCACCTTCCATCCAGGGGTGGTGGCACAGCCACGTGGGTTCCTCGAGTGATGGCAACCTGGACCTTTCCTCCCAGCTACTGCATCTTCCAGGGCCACCTGGATGGCACCTGAGCCTTCGAGGGAGGTGCTGACAATCACCATCTACTCAGGAGAACACACACACACACACACACACACACACGGGGGGGGGAGACAGAGTGCACACTCACACCTCAGGGTCTTGCCCAAACGCCTGCAGTGGCCTCGGCCAGCAGCGCCTGAGGCCAGGAGCGGCAAACAGCTGCAAGGTCCCATCCGGGCCAGTCTCCTCGTCAGGGAGCAGCCGCTGCAGGCTCGTGGGGCTGTGGACCTGCCGCCAGGGTGGGGTGGGTGCTTACGGCTGTCACACACAGCCTGCTGCAGTGGGGAGACCACGGCACCACACCGGGTCCCCGGGTCACCTCAGCGCTGGAAGTGGACGCGGGGATCATGGCCACATATCCTGCCCAGGGGGCTGCTGGTCACCCTGCAGGGCCACCTGCCTGTCTCCATCAGTTACACTGTTGTTGATAAGGCAGAGAGACGGGCGAAGGAGGGGTACAGAGAGGAGAGAGACAGACAGCCCCAGGCCAGTGGCCCCTGCCCAGAGGCTGTGCTGACGCCCCTAGCTGCCCGCACTGCCCTCGGCCAGCGTGCTCGGCTGCCCCAGCTGGGCCAGCCTGCCCTGGCTGCTCATCCGTTTATTTTGAGGGGGCATTGAAGAAGTGGGGAGGGGGAGCTCATCCAAGGACTCACCCCCAATGCCTGGGGCTGAGCCAGGCCAACCTGGGGTCCAGGGCTCCCATGAGGGGGCAGGAACCCAAGTCCTCGCCATCGCCTTCTCCCCACCGCCTTCTCCCCACCGCCTTCTCCCCACCGCCCCGGCTCCGTGCTAGAAGGATGCTGAAGCCAGGAAGCCCACTCCCCTTCTGTCTGGGGGTGTGCCTGCCCTGGGGCCAAACCCTGGCACTGCTCACAGCGAAAGCATGCCCACGCCCCACTCCTGCCACCAGAACCAGGGCAGCCCAAGGGCTTTCGTCAGTTCCCTGGGCATGAGGTCAGTCCTGCAAGGCTCCCGCCCTCCTGCTGTCCAACGGTCTCTCCCTGGCCACGCTCCCTCCTGGCTCGGGCTGTGGGGTGAACCCTCTGAGTCCTCTGCGTGCAGTGGTGTCTCCCTGGGCTGTCTGAGGGGCCGGTCCCATCCTGCTCGCCGTGACACTCCCCGCACACAGGAGAAGGGACGGACGCCGTGGCCGGTCCCATCCTGCTCGCCGTGACACTCCCAGCACACAGGAGAAGGGACGCCGTGGGGACGCTCACCTAGAAGTGTCTCCTCACGTCCCTGCTTGGCGTCTCTTGGTGTCACGTGTCTTCCTTTGCCGCTGAGCGTCACTGGAAACACAGCTGGGTCGGGTTGCTGACCGTGGGGAGTGTCTCGTTCGGATGCAGACCCAGCCAGGGCTCACGGCCTCTGTCTGTGGTTGTTTGTGGCTGAGCAGGTTACGGCTGGCTGAGCAGCGCCCACGAGGCACAAAGCCAACTCCACTGTTTGCCCGGCACCCGCATCACGCACCTGCTGAAGGCAGGAGTTCCTGGAGTCGCTGGGTCCCCTTCCACAGCAGCGGGAGCCAGGAGTCCCATCCCCCAAGTCCTGCTGCCCCCAGAGGGCACAGCCGCAGGAAGCTGGGAAGAAAAAGAAGCGGGGTTCAGGTGCAGGCACATGGGTGTGGGACATGGGCATCCGAAGCTGATGCCAGCCCACATTCTGTGCCCTCTGCTTTGGCAGCTCCCCCAGGGCCACCTGCTCCCTAGGTGAGAGCCAGCATGGGCTACTTAGTGACACAGCTCGAAAAACTGCCCGTGTGGGAAGGAATCCCCTACTCTTCAAAACCGTCTGAAGTGGGTGCACACCCACAGGCTTGCCCAGCGAGCACTCGGTCCCTCAGCTGCCCACCCTAAGCTTCTCACAGCTGGCGTCCAGGGATGAGCCAAGCCTGGGAAAGGCAGCTGCTGGCCTGCTGGGGACAAAAGTGGCTGTGGCCAGAGCCCAGCTAGCTGCGACCCCTCCCCTGTGGCCATTCCCAGGCTCGCTGGTGCCCACCAACCCCAGCGCTGCCGCAGCTTCAAGCCGGCTTGGACGGGGGGGAGTGAGAAGTTCCTGTGGCTGGTTCAACTTTGCTTTAGTTGCTGCTACGATGGGGATCTTCCCAAACGTCAGCTGACCTGGCTGGCCCTGTGGGGCAAACACGGCATGCTGCTTATTTTTAACAATTAAAATGTTTTGAAGATATATTTATTTGAAAGGCAATGTGATATCTCAGGAGACAGGAAGATGTTCCACCTGCTGGAACTCAGATGGCCGCAAGTGCCAGGAGCGTCTTCTAGGTCTCCCACGCAGGTGCAAGGCCCACGCACTTGGACGATTTTCTACTGCTTTCCAAGGAGCTGGATGGGAAGTGGGGCAACTGGGTCTTGAACCAGTGTTTGTATGGGATGCTAGCATCACAGGCAGTGGCTTAACCCACTGTGCCATGCACTGGCCCCTAAATAAACTGTTAAAGCTGGAGCAGTCTCAGACGGCAGAGGAGTCCTGGGGCAGAACATAGCACCAGCACCCACCGTCCCCGGCTGCCCCCACCTTGTGCCCATGGTGGTTGGCTTCCTCACAGTCCCTAAGTTCTATGCCCATTCCTTCGTGTTCCCCTCAAGCTCCCGTCTGGGGCCCAGCCTCAGGCTCTCACCTCCCAGATGGCCGCGCTGGTGGGTTTCACAGGAGCCGCCCTAGGGTCTGTGTCTCTGCTGGGCAGGCAGGCTTCACGGCAGGGGGACCCTCACTCAGTACCAGGCGCGAGGCCAGGCCCGCCTGGCCACCCACCTACTCACTGGTTCCCAGCTGATGTTTCAGTTGCACAAGGGCCTTCCTCCCCCACCAAGGCAGAGAGAGCCCGACCCTCGCCTGGTCACGCAGCCAGAGCCCGGAGCCACTTGGTCATTCGTCACGGGGACAGGAACCCCAGCCTTACCTGCTGGCACCTGCTGCCTTCCGCAGACACATTGTCTGAAAGCAAAGCAGCTGGGACCTGAGCCAGCACTCCAAGCCCCACAGCAGCCCCTGCCCATCCACCCCGTGTCCAGGGCAGCGCCGTGTCCAGAGCCTCACTGGCTGGCCTGGGAGTCATCCACCCAGCTCTTCCTGAGGCCTGCAGCCCTGCCGGCAAGCTGCACCTGCTCCTCACTGCCACAGGGTCTCTGTGCTGGGACCTGTCAGGGTGGCTGTTTGTCCCAGGGGAGTGGGGAGGTGGCTTGCCTGAGTCACACAGCTAAAGGGGCACTGTGAGGACTTGGCATGGATTCCTGTGCCTGTGCCCGGCTCGGGCAGCCTCCCACCTCCCAGTGGCACTCACGGCCAGCTGCTAGGAGCTTCCCACCGGCCTCGGTCTGTCTGGCTGTGCCCGTGGTCTCCTGGGCTTCCAGGGACTGCCAAGCAGCCGTTCTTCCTAGTCTGGCCAGTGGTGAGTGGAAGGGAGGTGCAGCTAATTGTGCCTTCTGATTCCTGGTTGCACCCTGGTCGCCTAAGCAGGATGAGCTGCCAGGCTCTGCCTTCCCGGCAGGGCCCTCGTCTCTGCTCTGGGGAACAAAGCAGGGGGCTAGGGGCGTCCGGAGCAGCCGGGCTGACCTCACTGGCCTGCAGTCCCCGGGAACCCACGGAGCAGCCGGGCTGACTTCATTGGCCTGCAGTCCCCGGGAACCCACAGAGCAGCCGGGCTGACCTCACTGGCCTGCAGTCCCCGGGAACCCACGGCGCTGGCCTCTGGACAGCGATGCATCTGACCCCTGCTCCTCCCAGGGCCTCCCCCAGCCCTGCTCCCACCTGGCGTGTCCTCCATGGCTGGGAATCACCAAGTGTCTTGGGTGGTGGTGCTGCCCTGCATCCCGTCCTGTCTCCGACAAGGCAGCAGCCCCAGGGCGACAAGCAGGACCACTTGAGCCTCACGCACCTGCTGAGCAAGCTCCTTTGCAGACTCATGCATACATGTGACTCTGCGTGTGTCCGCCTAGGTGGTGGTCCCGGAGGCTGCAGTGACAGTGGGCCTGAGGGAGCTGGGAGGGGCAGAGGGGACGATGGGGGGCTCCTGGGAGAGGAAGGGCAGCATGTGGAAGCAAGGCGACTGAATGCAAGGGAGGCCTGTGCTGGGAGCAGAGGTGCCGAGGCAGGACAGGAGGCACGGCCAGAGCCAGTGGGGCCAGGTCAGGGGAGAGGGGTCTGAAATGGGCCACAGCGCTCTGGCCGTAGTTGGTGGGGGTGGGGGCAGTCAGACAGCACCGGCTACAACTGCGCAGGACTTGCTGGGGGGAAGTCGGGCAGAGGCCCGCAGCAGCTGCCCTCAATGCCCCCTCTGGAGCCTGTGCTGGGGGCCGCAATGGAGACATCACGATCCCCATGACCTGGTACCAGGGTGGGGGGCACCAGGGGTGACCACCCACCCATGACCTGGCACCAGGGTGAGGGTACCAGGGGTGACCACCCACCTATGACCTGGCACCAGGGTGGGGGGCACCAGGGGTGACCACCCACCCATGACCTGGCACCAGGGTGGGGGTACCATGGGTGACCACCATGACCTGGCACCAGGGCGGGGGTACCAGGGGTGACCACCATGACCTGGCACCAGGGCGGGAGTACCAGGGGTGACCACCATGACCTGGCACCAGGGCGGGGGTACCAGGGGTGACCACCCACCTATGACCTGGCACCAGGGTGGGGGGTACCAGGGGTGACCACCCACCTATGACCTGGCACCAGGGTGGGGGGTACCAGGGGTGACCACCATGACCTGGCACCAGGGTGGGGGGCACCAGGGGTGACCACCCACCTATGACCTGGCACCAGGGTGGGGGGTACCAGGGGTGACCACCATGACCTGGCACCAGGGTGGGGGGCACCAGGGGTGACCACCCACCTATGACCTGGCACCAGGGTGGGGGGCACCAGGGGTGACCACCCACCCATGACCTGGCACCAGGGTGGGGGTACCATGGGTGACCACCATGACCTGGCACCAGGGCGGGAGTACCAGGGGTGACCACAATGACCTGGCACCAGGGCGGGGTACCAGGGGTGACCACCATGACCTGGCACCAGGGCGGGGGTACCAGGGGTGACCACCATGACCTGGCACCAGGGCGGGGTACCAGGGGTGACCACCCCCCGTGGGAAGGACAGATGATTCCTGCTCCGTCTCTTGCGGGTTGCCCCTAGGGGACCCACAGGGCAGGGGGCCTAACCCCTGGCTCGTCCTGCCGGACAGCCGCTGCTCCGCTGGTCCTGCCACATTCCGCATGCGGGAGGAACCTACTGCCGCCACCGCCAATCCCTGTGCCGGAAGTCCTGGCTGTCTGGGGCACAGAGGGATGCGTCAGTCTCGGACAGAGCCGGAAATGACGTGGATGAGGCCGGGCTGACGTGTGGGGCGCACGCCAGGACCTGCACATGTCTGGCTGGTACCGATGACATCAGCACTGACGTCAGGAGCCTTTCCTGGGCGACTCGGGGCATGAACTGCCTCGTGGACTCAAGGACGCATCAGACACTCTCCCCTGCCAGGACAAGAGCGTAGCTTTCCAGTCCGTTTCCCCCGGTGCCCAGCCATTAGTGCCACCTGACCACAGAACACGCTGCTCACCGCTCCCCAGCCCATCCCGCCGCTGCCCAGGACCCACCAGAACCTGCTTCCCGTCTGCTGTCTGAGGGCACCTTCATGCCAGTGTATCCCTGCACAGGCCTCCCAGGCCCCAGGGCTGTGGGATCAACCATCGCCTGAGGGGGAGGCTGCGTGCTCAGGATGGCACAGCAGGAGCCCAAAGCAGGACTGGAAGCGGCCGGATGGGTGACACACAGCTTCACCTCTTCCGGACACCAGGACCCTCCTCCCTCCCTCACGCAGCACCAGCTAGGGGGCTGGGCACCAGGGGGTGGGGCAGTTTGGTCCAGGCCTCAGCTCTGCCTACTCGGAGTCGCTGTCCTGCCCACGCGCAGAAGTCTCCCCAGGCAGACCCTAGAACAGAGCCGTCTCTCCAGGCGGGGTGGGGGTCACTCTTCCTGATGCTTTGCAGAGAGCCACCCTGGTGGGGTCCCAGAGGCTAGTGAGCCCTGGGGATGGGGAGCTGCCCAGGCAAGGGCGAAGCTCAGGTCCAGCTTGGAGAGGCTGTAGAGGATGGGGCGTGGAGCCAGCAGGTGCCTGCTGACAGCACCTCCCCAGCATTCTCAGCCACAGCCAGCCACAAGGTCCTCTGCATCCCCAGTCCGGCTCTCCCGGGACTCAGCACGGGGTCCTCTGCATCCCCAGTCCGGCTCCCCCGGGACTCAGCACGGGGGGTGATCTGGGAGTGCCCGCTTTCATTGCAGGTTACTGCTCAGGACACCTGGCAGGCCTTGCCTGTACAAGGCCATGGCCAGGAGCAGGTGCCTGTGTGCACAGGGGACAGCTGCCTGTGGGAGGGGCACACAGCCATGACACCTGACAGGGCCCCTCTGCACACACACGCTTTGCACACAGCCATTATACACATGCCCTCTGCACACACCAACTCAGCTCACACCCCCCCTCTGCACACACCCTCTGCACACCCCCGCTGCTCTCACCCCCTCTGCTCACACCCCCTCTGCGCATACCCCCTCTGCACACACCCCCTCTGCTCACACCCCCTCTGCTCACACCCCCTCTGCTCACACCCCCTCTGCGCACACCCCCTCTACTCACACCCCCTCTGCTCACACCCCCTCTGCGCACACCCCCTCTGCTCACACCCCCTCTGCACACACCCCCTCTGCTCACACCCCCTCTGCTCACACCCCCTCTGCACACACCCCCTCTGCTCACACCCCCTCTGCTCACACCCCTCTGCTCACACCCCCTCTGCGCACACCCCCTCTGCTCACACCCCCTCTGCTCACACCCCCTCTGCTCACACCCCCTCTGCACACACCCCCTCTGCACACCCCCTCTGCTCACACCCCCTCTGCACACCCCCTCTGCTCACACCCCCTCTGCTCACACCCCCTCTGCTCACACCCCCTCTGCTCACACCCCCTCTGCTCACACCCCCTCTGCTCACACCCCCTCTGCACACACCCCCTCTGCTCAAACCCCCTCTGCACACCCCCTCTGCTCACACCCCCTCTGCTCACACCCCCTCTGCTCACACCCCCTCTGCTCACACCCCCTCTGCTCACACCCCCTCTGCACACACCCCCTCTGCTCACACCCCTTCTGCACACACCCCCTCTGCTCACACCCCCTCTGCGCATACCCCCTCTGCACACACCCCCTCTGCTCACACCCCCTCTGCTCACACCCCCTCTGCTCACACCCCCTCTGCGCACACCCCCTCTGCTCACACCCCCTCTGCTCACACCCCCTCTGCACACACCCCCTCTGCTCACACCCCCTCTGCACACACCCCCTCTGCTCACACCCCCTCTGCTCACACCCCCTCTGCACACACCCCCTCTGCTCACACCCCCTCTGCTCACACCCCCTCTGCTCACACCCCCTCTGCGCACACCCCCTCTGCTCACACCCCCTCTGCTCACACCCCCTCTGCTCACACCCCCTCTGCACACACCCCCTCTGCTCACACCCCCTCTGCTCACACCCCCTCTGCACACCCCCTCTGCTCACACCCCCTCTGCTCACACCCCCTCTGCACACACCCCCTCTGCACACCCCCTCTGCTCACACCCCCTCTGCACACCCCCTCTGCACACCCCCTCTGCTCACACCCCCTCTGCACACACCCCCTCTGCGCACACCCCCTCTGCACACACCCCCTCTGCACACACCCCCTCTGTTCACACCCCCTCTGCTCACACCCCCTCTGCTCACACCCCCTCTGCGCACACCCCCTCTGCTCACACCCCCTCTGCACACCCCCTCTGCTCACACCCCCTCTGCTCACACCCCCTCTGCGCACACCCCCTCTGCTCACACCCCCTCTGCACACCCCCTCTGCTCACACCCCCTCTGCGCACACCCCCTCTGCTCACACCCCCTCTGCACACCCCCTCTGCTCACACCCCCTCTGCTCACACCCCCTCTGCGCACACCCCCTCTGCTCACACCCCCTCTGCTCACACCCCCTCTGCGCACACCCCCTCTGCTCACACCCCCTCTGCTCACACCCCCTCTGCGCACACCCCCTCTGCTCACACCCCCTCTGCTCACACCCCCTCTGCACACACCCCCTCTGTTCACACCCCCTCTGCACACACCCCCTTTGCTCACACCCCCTCTGCTCACACCCCCTCTGCTCACACCCCCTCTGCACACACCCCCTTTGCTCACACCCCCTCTGCTCACACCCCCTCTGCTCACACCCCCTCTGCGCACACCTCCTCTGCTCACCCCCATTAGGAATGAGTGGTTCGGGTGTTGACACCCAGCATTCCTGGGGCCGAGGAGGCAGTGGTCCCTAGGTTCCAGCAGCTGCTGTCTTTCCGAAAACAGGCCTGAGGTTCAAACCCCACCTGGCAAAAACACGGGGCTGTAGGCCCCCACCTCTGCTGCACAGCCCCTGTCCGGGGGCTCACCATCTTGGTGCTCTTCTGAGTAGGGCATGGGCCAGGGACTGGGCAGCCAGGCCACAAGGCTGCAGAACCAGCACCTTCCCCGGCACAGGGCCAGGCCAGGGGCTGTGATTTCCCAGCCGGTGTCCAGCCATGGTCTGTGCCCCAAAGTGGGCCCTTGCTCCCAGAAGCAGGGACAGCCCAGGAAGGGAGAGGGCCGTGCTGGCCCCAGGTCAAGCTGCTGCTGGTGAAGGGCACCTGACCCACCCTGGCTGGGCGGCCAGCAGCCCAAGTCCCAGTGCCAGCCCTCCTTAGTATGGGGCCATCCCTGGTCATGGGCCTGATGGGTAGGGCTGCAGCCACCGTCGCTGTCCCTCTCACAGCTGTGGGCCTGGGGAAGGGTCACAGGAGTCAGGTGGTCTTTCTCCCGCCCCCACTCCCACCCCATGCCCAGCAGAACGAGACTGACAGCGCGCGACCTCCCGGCAGCCTCCACCCGCGTGCTGCCCCAGGTTCCGCGCCCCGGGGGGCGTGTGCGTGAGCGTCTCCACTGGCAACAGCGCCGTCGTCCTGACAACCTGAGCGCCCCCCCCCGCCCACAGCCGTGCCCCTGGGAGCCCTGAGGGGGGCAGGGGCGCCCTGCGGCACCGCGCAGCCCCTCCCCCTTGCACGGGGTGCTGATGGCAAGGCGTATCTGCCACTCCAGGGGCCGGGGCACCCGCCGGGGAGCGCATCCTTGCGCTTGCTGCAGGACCAGTGGTTGGGCGGGTCTCAGGGATTCTCGGGGCGGCCTGGCTGGGGGCCTGCGGGCAGCACGAGGGACCCGCGCTTGGTGCTGCCCAGCTAGCGGATCAGGCCTGGAGCTGCTGGCCTCCTGTTGGGCTGGGGGCTTCTCTGTGCTGCACCCGCATACTGGGGAGACCTCAGCCACCTTCCAGGGCCTGACACGGAGTCACCACCTCGCAGCTTGCACGCCCGCCAGTTGCAGGAGCCCACGTCTTTTATTAACACTGTGCGTGTATGTCTGTCTGCATGTATTGAGTTGAAAGGAAGAGCGGCAGAGGGAGAGAGGGAAAAAGAACTCTTCCAGCCAGTGGTTTCTTCCCCAGAAGTTCGCAACAGCCAGAACTGAGCCAGCCGGAAAGCCAGCAGCCAGGGGCCCATGCACTTCTTCGTGCATTGGCGGGGAGCCAGCCTGGAAGCAGAGCAGCCAGGACGAGCACCCGGATAAGGGATGCCAACGGCGAGGCCAGGAGTGTTCCCAGGCACCTGGAGGGGCAACGCCAGCGGGACCTGGTCTGGCAGCAGTGGCTAGCTTTCACAGACCCGCTGCCGGGCTCACCCAGGGGCCTGGTCCCCTGCCTCTCCACTGCCATCACACTGCACGCCCAGCCCTGACCAAGCTGCATGGGTCTGGAGACCTCAGGGCGCCCCTCCCCCACTGCAGGTGCCAGCACCCGCTCGCTGGGTGCCCTGGGGAGCCCTGGGTGGCTCTGCGGGCACTTTACCACCTCCCCAGCGGAGTGACCCCAGCAGCTTCCTGTTCTGCAGGCCTGGGGCAGTGTCCTGGGTACCCCGTCCTGCCTGGCCCTGCCTCCTGCTGCTCCCTCCGGCCCCTCCTGGGGGTCACTGCGCATCCACCTTCCTGCTGCCCGTGTGTGTGGGTGGGTGGTGGGGGTGGCGCGCTGACATCACGGGGCACTTATCCGCTGCTCCCTGCCTAACGCAAATTTCATCCTCGTTCTCTCGGAATCAATTTACTTTTATTGCCTCAGCTGCTCAAAAGCAATTTTTCAAGAACAAAAAGGTCAGCGCGTCCAAGACTAATCAA